GTTTTTAAACATCCTTAAAATGAATTTGAATCAAGAAATTTGAGTAAATTGTTTATACAGCTTTTTTTTCCAATGTTTATTCTTGGCAAAAAAAAATTCTTACTGAATGTTGAATAAAGAATTCTAGACAGGAAAAATCAAGACAAAATTCTTGATTTGGTAAAAACGTCTAAATGGTTGTTTTCGGTTTGTGGCATCAATTTTGTTTTGTTTGTTTTGTAAAAACAAAATGCATTTTCAATGATGGTGGTGGATGCGAGAAAAAAAAATTATCCCTATAAATTCATTCACTGACCACTGTACCATATATATCGTCAGCTATTTAAATGACCATTTTCTTTCTCATGACATGACAACCAAAACAAATAAATAAATTTTGAATGTAAAATTCCATTAAATTGTCCAGTTTTGTTTTGTTTTCTGATTTTCTTCTTCTGCCTCTGTTTTTTCGTTTTCCAAGTTTTGTTTGTTTGTTTGTTCATTTGAGCCAAAAAGAAGCAAAAAAAACCCAAATGAACAAATTAAACGAATAATTAAACCAAATAAATTATACGCCAAATCACAAATCTCATCAATGAACAGAGAAAAAAACAAAAAGTTCTTCATTGGATAACATTTGTTTACGTTTTGGTTTTTGAATTTGAGTTTTTTTTTTGCTTTGTCTGTTTAGCACTTGAATACACACACATACTTGTCTTATATTGACTAGATCGATTGATCAAAAACAAAACACAGAAAAAACTCGATAAGAATCTAGGTATTTATTTCTGCTAGAAAGTGTCAAGAATATTCCGTGCAAGACACAAGAGAAGAAAATGACTTTGATTTTCTGAAAATGGGAAATAAATTCTTTATTCAGCTTTTTTCTTCTTCTTCTTCTTCTCTTTGCCACCAACCAATCGATACCTTTTATGCAATGATAAAAGTCAATTCTTGAAATAAACATTAGTTTTTGCCAAAAAAACAAAAAGCAAAAGAAAAGATCATTTAATTGAGTCGAAACAAATTATCGGCCATCAACAACAACAACCAAAACAACAAAGACTTTGACTTTTGGTGATCGAAAAGACTTTCTGGAATACAACTCTGATCAAATTGACAAATGGTCAATGAACGAAGCAAAGCAAAGCAAAACGAAACGAAAATAAATAAAAAAAAGCGAGGAAAATTCAGTATCATTAAGTTTGATCAGTTCCACCGAACAGAATGAAATGGAATGATAATTTGTTGAAAGAAAATAAATGAAAATGGAGTGAAACGAGAAAAACAGCGAAAAAAATCTTTCCCAATGTAAATATATTATGGATAATGGGAAACGAAACAACAACAACGACTACAACAATGGAAAAGTAGATGATAAAAATGATGAAAATAAAATGAATTTATTGAACAAAACAAAACATCCAACAAGAAAAGATTGATGTTTATTTAGTTTTAGTTTTTTTGTATAAAATTTTGAAAATTCCATTTTAGCATCCTGCAAATAATGTTTGTGCATATGCAGTGTGTTTGACATTCAAATTCATTTGTTTCTCTCTTTCTCTATTGGTCAAACCGATTGGTTGGTTGGTTGATTGGTTGATAAATTATCGATTTCAAATGAATTCACTGTCGAATGATTTTTTCGTTATTTCACAATCTAATTATGAATAATTTGAATTTTCTGTCACGTGAAAATTCAAATGTTTTTTTACAATGTTTTTTTTTGTTCTTCCATATTGCTTCTTGTTTCATTTCAGCGGTATCAATTTTCCATTAAAAATTTTTTTTCCGGTATTGAATTACCGAATTTTGATCATTAACATCGAATATAATGACTGAATGAAAGGAAAGGAAGGAAATTGGATCATTTTTTTCGCCATGTTAATAACGACGATGAAAAAATGGAAAAAAAAGATCCATCAATGATATCACGCAAATGGACTGTTGTTGTTGGTTGTTTGTTTGTTTGTTTGTTGACTGTCATTAATATTTATCATTATTATCATTATTGTAATTTGGTTTTGGGTTAGATTATGTATTTATCAAAATGCAAAAAAAAAAAGTAGAAAAATGTTTGTTTTTCTCTCGTCGGTTGAAATGGAGAGAATGATCCAATAATCGAACCAAAGAGTGAGAGAAATTTTGTTTTTCCCTTGAAAATGTTATCGGGTGGATGAATTTATTTCGGAAAAGTTTCTCTTGAAAATTTCTTTTGAAAAAGTTTTTTTGGTCAACTTTATTACCCGAGAAATTTCTCCCCCCTCCTCAATTGAATTTTCCAAAAAACCAAACTAAATTCACTTTTTCTTTTGAAATTGTTTTTTTTTCTTCTTCTTTATTTTGATTGTCCGAACCAAAAAAAAAAGGAAAATATCAGTACAAGTCGATTCAAATGAAATGAAATGAATGTGGAAAAATTGACATTTGATTTTGTTTTCACTGTCGATTGACTTTTACTTGTCATTTACTTTTGATCTTGTTATATTGGATTGTTTTCTGTGTCGATTCCGGGCCAACAACCAACAACAAAACGAAAAAAGATGCAACAGAATTCACTATTGAAGGTTTCTTCTTTTTTTTGAAACAAACACATTAAATATATCGGAAATCGATCATCATCATCATCATCATCGTTCCCTCTTAGTATGCTTATGGAATACTGATGTCCATGTTTTTTTTCTGGAAAAAAATTGTCTTGTTTTTTTTGTGTAAAACGAAAATTTTACATAAAGTTTTTTCGTTTTGTTTGTTTGTTTGTTCAACATTCTAATCTTTATTGAATGTTTCATACATTTTATACACTTTGAAACAGATTGAGAATGAATGAAAAATCCTGCTTCAGTTAATTAAATGGAAAAAATGATTTATCAGAAATCAATCAAAATTTCATATTTGATTTTTTTTTCTTTTTGTTCAAAAGGGGCAAGAAAAAATCATTAAAATTTCGGGAATTATTCCCGGGAAACATTAGTATTATTATATCATATACAACAATAACCGAGCAAAAAACAAATTAATTTCGTTGATACGATTTCACTCGCAATTGAATAACGCGCCATATTATATTAAACAACAAAAACTAGGTAACAATAAATAAAGTGTTCACGAACATGGTGAACGAACAATTTTTGCAAACAGAAAAGAAGAATATTAACAGAATTGTGAAGCAACAAAAACGACGTGATTTGAAAATCTAATGAAACAAAAAAATTTAGATATAGATGAAGTGAGATTGAGTGAGTGAAAAAACTGACTGGCCAGAAACCGAACCAAACCAAACCGACCCAAACAAACAAATAGACTTGAATTGAAAATGACAAACAAACTAAAATATTGACTATATTTGGAAAAATTGTTTCGTTTTTTCGTTTGTTGTTTTCGTGGATATCCAAAATGAAAACATCATTCTATTACACCAATCCATCATCCATATGGACAAAGTTTTCATTTTCTCTCGGTTCAGATGTTGAAATTCTATATATCCCCCAAAAAAAGAAAAGAAAAAGAAAATATCAAGTCGAAGAGGAGATGTGCGAAAAGAAAAATTCATTTCATGTTTTCTGTTGTTGTTTGAAAATATGGAATTCTTGATTTAAAAAAAAAATATTGATTTTTTTCCCCATTCACTTTTCACATCTTTTTTTTGAAGTGAAAACTTCAAATCTGACCAAACAATGAAAAAAAAGAGGACACATTGAATTTCATTAAGAACATTTCCACTGAGTGTTGTCCGTGCCAAAAAACAAAAAACAAAAAATTTTGATGTAAACATCAAAAACATGCAAAAAGAAAACAAAAATCCGGGGAAAAAAAAGTTCAAAGAAAAATTCAATTTTTAAAATTGAATTTTTTTTTCACTTTCTTTGAAACACACACCAAGAGAGAAGAATCCAATCAATTCAAGCAGCCGAAAAAAAATGCTGCTGGAAAACTTTCCAGAAGCTTTTCCGAAAAACTAAACTGAACTGAAAATTTTCCGGTTCGTCAATAAATAAACATTATCGATAAGGGAAAAACCCGATAATAATAATATTATTATTTGACCAACGAGACAAGAATTTCTAATCAAAGTAAAAAAAAACGAAACGAAATTGCTGCATTAATGATGAAATGGCAAGTGAGAATAAAACGAAGAATTTTTTTTCTCCAAACGTATTTTTTTCAATTAAAACGAAAACGGTCATTCGGTTTTTGGGCTATTTTCATCATTTTCTGCAAATTCGTCCAGAAAATGATTTATATGAAATGAAAAAAGAAAATTCATTGCACATTTTTTTGTTGTTGTTGTTGTTGCTGGTTTGATTGGAAACGGCTGGGTCAAAATAGGAATCAGAATTTTTTTTTTCTTTTTTGATGCAATTATTGATCATTGCGAATGATAATGATGATCATATAATAAAAAATTGCAACTGTATCACCACCATGATGATGATCATTATGAATGGAATTCAATTATCGTCATCATTATCATCACCGTCATCATCGTCATCATCGATATCAGGAATATTCTGTACACCCGGTATTACGGATGTTTGTTTGATAACTATTCCTCTATATGTTTCTCGGTGTGTATCTGATGAAACCAATCATTGATCAAAATACACACACCAGCCAACCAACCGACCGACCGACCAGATCCTAATTGAATTTTTCTTTTTCTTTTTTTTTCCTTTGAATCAAAATTCATTTGGTCAGCAATAAATTCTGATTATGTTGAGAGAGAGACGAAGGAAAAAAAGAAAAGAAACAACCCAAATACGGAAATGATACAACAACAACAACAACAAGAAAAATAATCGTTTTCAATCAATCAATAAATTAATCTGATGATGGTAGAATTGATTCTTTCATCGAAATTTATGATGACCAATTGGTCGGACTGGAGATGAAAAAAAATGACTTTTTTTCGAAATGAAATTTTCCAATTAAAAAACCTAAATATTTTTTTTCCAAATAAAAAAAACCAAATAAAATTTAAATTTTTTTTCCACTTTTAGGGGCGCTCATCCACGTAACACAAGGCAAAGTTTCCATTGCTTGTTTGTATTGAGTGGTGACATCATCAAGAATTCAAATACAAAGCATCATTAGATTCACTTGATTGCATCTTTTTTTCCCGTTCATCATCGTCATCATTATTCATCGAATCAAAAATCGAAAAAAAATAACAAGGTAGGTTTCCGAAACATAGTTTCTTTTCATTTCTTTCTTTTTTGTTCATTCAAATTTTACCTCTCTCGGATGACAAATTTTTTTATTTTATTATTATTCTAAACTTCTTGACTAATTGAATTCAATTTGAATCAAATCAAATATATTCACTTTACCTACATATCTACCTACCTACACACACTTTGATGTTTTCAAAAATTTTTCATTCAATGATGGTGATGATGTTTTGCCGATAAATGCAGAGAGAGAGAGAGAGAGAGAGAGAGAGAGATGTGACAAAATAATCAAATAAATAAATTATGATGATGATGATAAAGTGCATTTTCTGTTCATTTTTTTTCGTTTGATTGAAAAAAGATACCTGTTTTATTTTTTTTTATTCATTCATTAATTGAAGATATCAAATGAATATGATTTGAATATGCAAATTAAATTTAAATTGAATTTGAAAAAAAAAATAACTTTCAATTTACAAATTGTCAATCATGTATATATTTTTTTAATCAGAAGTTCTTCTGCGTTTTTCTATTTGCTTGCTGTTAATCTTTATTGAATAATAACCGATTATCAATCAATATGAAGACCAAACAAATCAAATCAATTTTTTTTCTGTTTCTATTTCTATTTTCGACAATGACAAACAAACAACAGAAAAAAATGGTGTGACAAACAAAAACAAAGAACTAAGAAGAAGAAACAAGATTCACATTGAGAGATTGTTATGAAATTGCCCAAAAAAAGATCTATATAAAGATGATGATAAAGAAGAAAAAAAAAACATTAATCTAATTAGAAGATGCTTCATAAAAAGTACTTCAACAACAACAACAATAAGCAACTTGACAACAAAAACAAAAACAGATAGATAGTGAAGAGAAAAACATAATAATAAATATATTTACTTTCATTCACTAATGACAATGTGTGTGTGTATGAATTCTGAAGAATGTTGCCCAGAAGAAGAATATTCTTTTAATATTTTTTTTCGATTCATTGATCACATCTATCTATCTATCTCGTCTATCTATCTATCTCCTCTATTCATTCATCCATCCATTCATTCATTCATTGTTTCTTTTTTTCAAATATTGTACAGCAAACAAAAAACAACAGTTAACACAAAAGTGTTAATTCATTATCATCATCATCAATGGTTCATTCATTCATTCATTCATTGTTTATTTATTTGATATCAATATTGTTATCAGCAAGCATTTTTTTCTTTTTCTGTTTGTGTTTGGTTTCTGTTATTGTTTTTGCAAAAGCAAAATCAATCGTTTCATATTTTTCGTTGCTCAGAATCCATATTTGTTTTTGCCATATATAATTCCAGATTTATTCTTGCAATTTCCAGTGATCCTCCATAGAAGCAATGATGAAGATGATTAAAACAAGAAACAGAAACAGAAAAAAAACATTGATAATTATGGCAGTGAAGTATACATTTGAAGGGGTCATTGAAAGTAAACTAAAACTCAAAAAAAACAAAAAAATTCATCATAATCATAATCATTCAGTATTGTTTCATATGCGAAACACTTGAATTAAAACAATGAAGAAAAAAAAACATTCATTTTAGTTTAGTTTCAAAACTAATAAATTAGACACACACCGTATATATAGACCGTTTGTTTGGTTTAGTATGGATGGATGATGGTGGTGGTGGGTGTTTGAAAGCAATAAAAAACACAAAAAAAAAAAAATTTTAATCACACATTATACAACTACAAATGATTATGTTTTCGGTGTTTTTTTTTTGTTTTGTTTCATTCACTTGTGTGTGTGTTCGTGCGACAATTAAGATTTGCAAAATGTTTTTTTTTTCTCGAAATTCCAGAAACAAGGACAGTGAAAATTGAAAATGAAAATGCTTGAAAGAAATTGGAAAGTTTTCTCTCTTCATTATAACGATTGGCATGGAATTTTTTTCCATGGTTCAGTTTACAGAAATTGTCTGGTAAATCCTCTCAAGAATAAGAAAAATCATTATGATGATCATAGTGAAACAAAGAATAGTCAATTAAAATATATCATCATCACGGTGAAAAAAAAGGGTTTCATTTTCTTATTTTAATACATTCACCGCATTTGTTATAAATTTTTGGATGTTTTCTCGGTTGTCGTCACTATTTCAACAACAACAACAACAAATTTATTTTTTTATACTTTGCATCGTAAAACTGTTATATCATTACCGGAAAATATTTCTGGGAAAGTAAAGTTTCTCCATCATAATCATAAATTCTTATGATATTTCAAAATTATTAGACATTTTTTTTATGCAAAAATGCTTTTTTCCACTTATACAAAAACATAAATATTGCAGGTTTTTTTTGTGCTTGTGACGTGTTAAATAAATGATTATCATCAAGAAAGTTAAGGATGTTGTTCCTGTTGTTGTTGTTGTCCTTGTTGTTGTTGTTTTTTAATATAAAAAAACTAATAACAACAACAACAACCGGGATGAAGGGTTAAAATAATGTTCAGGTTTTTTCCTAAATTGGTTTTTCATTTTCCAATCTTCAATCAATGATGATAATGATCGTTTTCTTTCGATGATCATTATATAATGATTTTGGACATTATTTTACTTCGGGAAAAAGAATTGAATTATTTATGACAAAAAAAATGAAGAAGAAACAACCAAGAATCAAAGAATCGAATGAAGAATTCAATTTGATTATATAATAATCACATCATATAATGATTTGATTTGATTTCTGTCTTTCTCTCTCTCTATTTGTTATCAAAGTTTTTCCCGATTACAATCACCAAACAAAGAAAAAAAATTCAATGATCATCAAATTGATTAGATTTTGTTTTTTTTTGTCTTCATTGGTAAACATTGAATACACACAGCCAAACAAGAACGAAGAAGAGCCTCCTCTTTTTTCATTCTTTCTCAATTAGAGTGAAGAAAGATAAAGATAAAGAAAGATCATTATTTGATCTTGAATGTACAACAAAATGATTCTTCAAATGATCCATTGTATCAAATTTTGTTTTTTTCTTCTTCTACTTGGTTTTTAATTGATTGACGTCATAAGCCAATACAAGAAGTTTTATCTTTATTTCCTACGTTTTTACATGATCAATTTCATTCAATAATTGATTTTTCTTTGGCCAATAAATTGTAACCAGGTGTTTGCATTAAAAAAAATGTTATATACAAAACAAAATGAGAAAAAAAACATGTCATTCTGGGAAAAATTTCATTCAATTATTAATTTGGAAAAATAGCAGCTTTTTCTTATCATACACAGAATATGCTCAAAAATGTTAGAGTAGAGGAAAATAATGCTTTTGAAAGTCTCTTCGCTTAAATTTGGCTTTGAAGCAGATTTGCTGAAACTAATACCGTTGTTTGCTTGTAAAAATTTTAGGGGTCATTGTTGATTTTTATCTTCAATTCAATCAATCAATCAATCAATCAATCCAAATGGTTTTCAATAATGTAGCAAAATTTGTTTTGTTTTGTTATTTTTTTTTTCCTTGGGTAAATATTTGCCTAAATTGTAAATTATTGTCTATTTCACTTGACTTTTCTCTCTTTCTCTTTTTCTTTACCTCCCTTCAATAATGATTGTTTGTTTGATATATTAATGGTGAAAATATTCTCTTCAACAACAAAGATCTTTATACGGCAAAACAAACGAAACAAACGAAAAATTCATGCACGAACACACCTACCGTCAGACCGACTGACTGAAAAATTATATAATAGGGTTTCCATATCCAGAATTTGTGTTTGTGTGTGTGTGCATGAATAACGAATTTGAATATTTGTTTATTTTCATCATCATCATCATCAAACAAACTGGTAGACTGGAAAAAACTTGGAGAGAAAAACTATCATCATCATTATCATCATCATAAACTCACCGAGAAAAAGCGAAAACGATATTTCTATATTCGGGTTTTCTCTTTCATGAAAACGAAAAAAACTTTATTGATGAAGAGAATTTGAGGAGAGAGAGAAAAAAATTTGAATTTTTCGTTGAATTCTAGTGTCGGTGTGTGTGTACATTGGATTAAATAGAATATTCTGTTTGATGATTCAGAAATATGGAAAAAAAGGATTGTGTGACATTCGGCTGAATTGGAATCCCAAAAAAAAAAAATGTTTGAAAAAAACCAAACATTCGGTTCTCTATGGAATTCTTCAATCACTTTGTGTGTGTGTGTNTCAGAAATATGGAAAAAAAGGATTGTGTTACATTCGGCTGAATTGGAATCCCAAAAAAAAAAAAAATGTTTGACAAAAACCAAACATTCGGTTCTCTATGGAATTCTTCAATCACTTTGTGTGTGTGTGTGTCAGTGTTGGTTTTATTACTTTCCAAAAATGAAAGATCTTTGATTATATTGATTTTTGCGGTATATTTGTTTCTGGAACCGATACTTTTTCTTTTCTGGGAGGGAGGTCAATACAGAATTATTTCTATTTCAATTAGAAAATCCACGAATTCATATGGATGCGGAAAATGAAAGCAAGAGAGATAAATTCACAGCATGTATGGATCAAAAATCTAAATGAAAATTTGAAACACATTTATTTTTTGGATTTTTTGACAGAAAACAATCTCCATTATATAAGACATTTGTATTTATAAAATGAAAGAATCAGTAAAAGATCAGCAAAGAATTAGTTATGTTTAAGAGATCAATAACATAACATAACAGAACAGAACAGAATAAAGCGATTTGATCTTTGATTCTTTGATTCTTTTTCAGGAATTATAAATGGTTGAATGGATGAATTGAATGGAAAATGAAAATATACAAACAAACAAACAGCAAATCGTATAGAAGCTTTGGTGGTGGTTTTATTTCATTACATTCATGTTTGATGTTTGTTTGTTTGTGTTCAATCAATCTAAACATTCAAGCTATACTGGCCATAAGGAATTAATGAAAAAAAAAATTCGTTTGAATTTCGTTTAACCCCCCCCCCTATGCTTACTGTCAATCGGATATTCTTCCTAAACAACAACAACAAC